GGAAGTTCTAAAGGTAGAAATTGCATATTAAGTTGAAGGTTTAGAGCTCACCAGTAGAAGAGCTTCAGAAATGAAAAAGTGAAAAAAAAATTATTGATTCAGCAATCCACTAAAAAGAAACAATGAGAAGGGAATGAAATATGTACTAAATAACTCAAAAACTAATTAGTAAATGTGTGAGGTATATCCTGTTAAATATTAATAATGACTTGAATGTAAGTAAATTAAATTCTCCAATTAAAAAACTTAGACTGAGGAAATGGGCAAAAGGTAAGATCTAACCATGACCAGTCTGCAACATGTTTCGTCTTTTTATTTCTAGTCCCATCACCTCCCTTCAACCCCTCTTATGTACAGCTTCCCTATGATGAATGTGACCATTATGCATATCTAAATTGTGCCAGTAAAGTCAATAAGTCTACTTGCTTTATGAGAAAGATGTATGCAGTCTGACAATAACTACAAAATACGTTCTGCACAAATGAAAACCAAAAGTGAGCAGTGATAGTTATATTTCCATCAAATAAAACACACATTGGTTCAAAAATTGTGAAAAAGAAAATCCAGGCTTTATATTATGATAAAAGGAAAATACAAAAATTATAAATATATATGTACCTAACACTGTACCACTAAAATATATAATGCAATTTTTTATATTTATCTAAAAAGATTGATTACAATACAACAGTTGTTGACTTCAAACTCTGACTTTTATAGTGAACAGATAATTGAAACAAAAATCAACAAGGAAACATAGGCATCCACAGAACATCTGAAAAGAACATAAATCATTCAAGAACCCATAGTGGCAGAATATACATGATTCACATTAGTCCTTTAAAGACTGTCTGGGCCACATTTTAAGAACTTCAAATCCTACTATGTGTCTTCTCCAACTAACATGAAATAAAATTAGAAATCAAGAAGAGAAACTGTAGAAATTATAGAAACACTTAAAAATAAAATAATATGCTTCTGAGTAAGCAATAATTCAAAGAAGATTAAAAGAAAACTTTAAAAAGTTAAAACAAATTAAAGAGGAAACAAAATACACCAAAACTCATGAGACACAGCAAAAGCAGGACAAAGAGCAAAGTTTATAGCAATAAGCATACATTTCAAAAGACAGAGATTATAAACGAGTAACCCAACAGTGAAATACTGGAAACTACAAAAATAAAGCAACCCTAAAGATATTAAAAAATAGAAGAAAAAGTAAGGATTGGAGAAGAAACAAAGCAACTTGAGAATTTAAAAATACACAAGCTCGATAAAAAGTTGTATTAAAAATAAAATACACAAATTTTAGCTAGTTTAATTTTGAAAAATCAAATAAAGTAAGAAATGAAAAAGGCCACAGTACAAATAATGCCACAGAAGTGCAAAAGATCATGAGAAGTTCTTATGAATCATTTCTTGCCAACATTTGGAAAACTTAGAACAAATAAATGACTTGAGACAAATAACTTACAAGATTACACCCTGAAGGAATATAAAATTTGAATAGACTAAAGATGAGAACAAAACTGAATTAGTCATAGAAATTTCCCAGGCAAGAAAAAGAGAATACTCAGTGCTTCCACACTTCAATTCTAGTACAATTAAATTAAAAAGACTGATACTAAATATTCTCAAATCATTCACCAATATTAAATGGTAGGTAATTTTCCTAAATTCTTCTATCATAATTATAATGGTAGGTAATCTTTCTAAATTCTCTAAAGACAAAATCATAACATGATAGAATTTTACCCAACTGGAATGGCTAATATCTAAAAGTCAAGGAAATACAAAAACTGGTAAAGACACACAGACAGAAAAATCTCACACTGTTGGTAGGAATGTAACTGGGAATAGCTAGCATGAAAAGCAGTATGAAGGTGCCTGGTAAAATTAATTGTGGAATTATCGTACGAATCAGAAATTCCACAACTTTGTTTTACAAAGGGAAGAATATCAAAACATTGAGGAGATACTTACATTTCATATTGATTGTAGTAGATTTGCAGAAACTTAGGTATAGCATTAACCTAGGTGTTTTGTTGAAGTAAAGAAAGAAAAAGAGAAGGGTAGAGGTAAGAATGGAGGAAAAGAAGGAAAGGAGGTTCACACGGTGAAATATTATTCAGCAAAAATACAAGATGTTCATTTGTGGCAACATGATGGAAGTAGAGGACAGAAATAGCACTGCGTTATATAAAGTAAATAAAATATAGAAAGACAAGTACATGTTCTCACATGTAGAAGAAAAATACAATATCACAGACGTTGAGATTAGAATAGTTTTTATCAGCTGCTAGAAAATTAGCATAGTCCTGGAGAGAGAATACTTAACATGTACAAGCTTACACTGAGTAGAAGGAATAATTTTAACATGTCTGATATAAAAGCCATTTAATGTGTTAAAGCACTGGCACATTTTAACATTTTTCTGAGAAGTATTTTGTTCTATAGCACAGTAGGTTAGCTATATTTTGACATTTGAGTGTACATTTCAAAATAGATAATAGGTATGATTTTGAAAATTCTGAACATGTAAAAAATGATAAATTAGATGAATGGTTTACAATTATTTGGATCTAACTATTTCACATTACTTACATGTATTGAAAGATCATAGAATGCCACTAAATATGTGCAGTTAATGTCAAAATTTCAAAAATTTAATCATGCTACATAATATAAGTTTATAAAACTATCTCTTTGTGTTATAATAACCCAAAAAGGAACTAATCACTACAAATGATAGCAAAACCACTAAATCATACATTGTGTGTCACACTAAAAGTGCAAACTGGTTTGCTAAATGTTAATCTGAAAAAAACAATTTATACTCTTTATTTTTCTACTTAAGGATCTCTTACAATAATTTCATATTTATATCAAAATATTTATAAAAGGAATATGTATGATTAAACCGGTGGAAAGTATATGTGGTTAATCACCATTTACTTAAACTGAGTTTCCTATTTGTAGTGTGTATCTTCTTAAGTACACTCATTATATTTATCCTCACTGTATTTGAGAAATTCTCAGAACTATGTCCTCATGTGCCTTTGAAGGGGTCCTAAAGATGTGTCCCTGCAGTGTGCTCAGATTTCTGGGTTGATGATATCCACACAAGGATACATCAGCAGATTCCATTTTGTGAATTTGCCCTTTGGAAAATTCATAGACAATTATAATAAAAATCAAAGCTATTGAAAATGTGTCTTGAAATGTACATTACTAATTGAAAGGGTTTTGGCCCAGACAGGACACTGTAGCCAGGAAAGCCTCAACCGGAAGCAGGAAGCCCCATCCCCCTGCCCCTAGGACGTTACGTGTGATGCCATCTTCCCGCCCCTGGAAATTTACATATGGCGCCAAACCTAGGACCAATGGGCTACCTGTGCATCCCTAATGCCCGCCTTAGGTTCCACCCCAAACTCATGCTATTTACATGCCCCCAGCCACATGTCCACCGGAGAGATTGCTGAACGCCAGTGTGGGGGTGCCAGTCATCTCTCTCCATGTTCTCAGAATAAAGGTCGCTTTTTTATTTTATACCTCTCATCTTTTGGAAATAATCCTAGCAATAATAAATAGCAGGACTGGGGAGAGATAAGCTAATTCTAAGGCATCTCATTATGCTTCATAACCTGATAGGTACTTCTAGTATTTGGACGTTCTTCATCTATGTGATCCATGCTTTAGACCATAAAAATAAAATCTGTAACTCAAATCCCCTTGTGTGAGCAAATTTCAAATACTTTCCTAGAATTCAATTACTATTGTTGTCATTTCCTGCATACTGACTGTCTCTGAATCAGACTCTTTAAAATCCGCCTCTTTTCTGCCCGCTCCAGTGATTAGATTTGATTGTAGGTCTTTGGCCTTTCTAGTATGAAAAACTTGCTCTAATAATACTAATCCCATACTGAAAAACGCTTTACTTGAAATGAAAATCACAAATTTACTAACATTTGTAAATTGTCAGTCTCCCGTTGCAACTATTTCATACTGTCTGTGAAAGCTACAGCAGGAGAGAATAGAGAAAATATATAGAAATTAGTGAGGGTGTTATTAACCACACCTGTTGGTCACAGCATGTCCAGGTAGACATGAGGGAAGCTATTGTGCATGTCAGGAGATCTGGAGCGATCTGTGGCTCCTCAGTCCGCACAATCAACAGTTGTCTAAACAGTCGTTTACATGGCATCACATTCAGAAAGGAACCACTTTAGTCTTCAGAGATACCTAAACCACTGAGAACAGTACTGAATTTTTAAAAATCTAAATAATACTTCTATGTGTACGTGGGAAAATAATGACATTTATGCCAAAAACTACCTTTGCTTAAGGGAAAAGCATACAATTTTGTAGGCATGTTATTTTTAGAGAGTTTTCTTCAGACATTCGTTGTATCATAGGTGCACAGACTTCTTTTGAACGTGCTTGTTAACATAGTCTGGCAGACATTCAATAATAAACTGTATTCTAGGCAATGAATTTATAATGTTGTTGCAGAAACAATCTCTTGAATGTTGTAAGCTTTATATATGATTGAAAAATCAATAACCTGGATAAATGGGTAACAAATTAGCCTATACACTTTTTAGGTAAAACGAAACAGTACTATCCTATTGAACTTATTTTCTAAGGGCATATAATTGTGTATTTAGTGAAATATTTTAAAATATGTTTAATTAATTGAGTAGCACAGATAAAATTATATATGAATTTATCTTTATATTATGTGATATAATTTAAATAATTCATTATTTTAATTCATAGTTTGACTTAATACAGACATGTTCTATCATTAATATAAACATGAAATATACTGAAATGTTTTTGTGTACTATGCATCAAATTAGAAAATTATTAAGTAATAATGTCATAATAACATTATATGAGAATAATAAATGATCTATAATATTGTTCATTTCTTTTTATCAATAATGAGCCAACAGGAGGTATTAATAATATTGGATTTCTTTTTTTTTTTTTTCCAGGGTATAAACAGTCTCCATACAGGATAGATTATGACAACTTCTTCTTTAAGGTGAGATCCAGTTTAATTCACAGTGGTATGCGGAGGGGCTGCAAAAATTTAAACATCATCCATAATATTCCAGAAGTAGAAGTGGAATAGTTACACAGGCCTAAATTGAAGATATTTTCTCATTAGTTTCACACCCTCAACTATTTTTGTTCAGCAGTGCTACTTTTGAGATAAACTCTAAACAATATTTCTTGGGTATTTCTGTGTGCAAAGTGTTCAACTTGATATTTTGATTGAGACTTGGGAATATATTGACCATAGAAGAAAATCAAGTCATAGTACAAAAATACAATATACCAATGTATGTAGTGTAATTAAAATATCTCACAGAAGCTGAATGGATGCCCCCCCCCACACACACATTTTTATCTTCTCCTAAATTACAAGTACATTAGACTGATTTAAATGTCACAAGTTAGAAATTTTATATTTTAATTATTTACATTAGATCCACCCATATATTTACCACTTTTATCCACTATTCTTATCCGATCTTCAAAGTGATCTAGAGGGTACTAGCCTATTCTTTATAATTTGCCATAATGAGAGTATCTCAGTTGTTCATTAGAGTACTTGTATTTATTCTGTTATTCTTGAAAAACCACTTCCATGCATTATGAGTCTAAATTGTTAATAAATTTGATTGGCCATTGCTGTATTTATTCTACTGCTTTTTGCTTCTATGTATAATACACCTGTCTGTCTAGTATAGATAATTTGACGTATCTTTTGCTTGCTTTTTAACCTCTCAATCTGTGATCTCAGTGCCTTTAGATTTCATTTGTGAGTAAAATGACGGGACAATTATCTTTGTGTTCCAGGTTAATTTCATTTATGATACCGAGGTGTATCTGTAGTGTGGTCAATGATAGGGTTTCACCTTTATTTTTTATCATTGGTGTTTTGAACAGGCTGTGACATGAATGGCTGTATGTGTATGTATCCCACTTTAGATTATTGATGTTCCCAATTTTCAGGATAGGTATTGTTCAGAAATTTTGGAACTCTTTTGTCACTATCTCACTTAATGTGCCCTGTTCCAAGTTACTTCATCTTTCATGTCTCAGTAGTTCTTTAATTTCATTTCATTGCTTCTTGATTACTGGATTTATAATCAATACATTGATTTGATCTGTGTTTGAAACTTTTTAAAATTCACCTCCTTTAATTTTCATCGTTTTGTATTGTTTTAGTTTTTTCACAAGTGCAGTAGCCTTTTTGTTTTTTCCTTTTGGTTGTTGTTTTCTCTTTTTTTATGTTCAATCCAAACTTCTAATTTATTTGTGGTTTTCATTCCAGACTCTGTTCCTGCTTGGTGTAAGTCATGAAATCATTTTTTTCTTTGTGTATGGCTTTGTTGGTTTAGTTCATTTAACTATGTTTTTGCATATGCGAGGTGTCATCTAGGCAATTATTTTTCAAAACACTTTTAATTCTCTTAAAATATATTTAAATAAAGAAGAATTACTTAATTTCACATGAAATATTCTAGTAAACTGACATCATTGTAGTTTACAATGTCAACTCACAGAAAAATTAAACTCTTCATAATCTTATTACCGCAGATATGTTATGTCATTTAACCTATTTATCATTTCTGATAAATATGGACTGTTTGAGAACTGAATATTCATCTCATTTTTTCTTTCATATATTTATATAGAATAGTGAGACATTTTCAATTCAAAATATCTTATATCTGATTAAATACAACAACACTATGGAACAATTTAATCCCTTCAAGTATTTCATTGCTAAAACGATAGTGGAACTCTTCAACCTTCAACTCTAAATTCAGTAAAACCTTGAGGAGCTATTTTCTTACATTTTTGAGTCTCCATGTTTCTATGTCCCCTGTGTTAATCTGACATGTATTTTCACACAAACTAAATAAATGAATATTGATTTTTATTCCCATTTTGTGTTGGAAATGAAATAAACCCAATGATTCAGGAACAAAACAGTAAGTCTGAAAATAATTTAACTCTCAAGAAATGAAAGTAGATTATTCATGGCCTATGGGTTTAAAGATTATTGAATCTCACAGTACCCCAGAGAAGTTATCCCATGAAGGACAAAACTTAGTGATTTTTTTTTTTTTTTTTTTTTTTTTTTTTAGAAACAAATTTCAAATGTAGAAGTGCTGCAGAAACAAAAAGTTCAATAGTTCTCAACTGCTTTTTTAATCTCAGGATTTTTGTACCTTATTAAATAACCTGAAATAACAAGAAATAACTTGAAAACTCTAAACAACATTGTCAATATTTCCTTTACTGTGTTAGGAACTAAAACATAATTAAGTTTTTGTCATTTACTTGAACATTAACAATAAACTCTACTAGTAATATAAATGGTATTTTTGTGCAAATAACTTCATTTTCAAACAAGGCAGAATAAGAAAGTTTGCATTGTTTTGCTAATCTATTTAACATCTGGATCATTTTAAGACTGTCAGAGTCTCATTTCTGCTTTGGTATTTACTTTGTTGTTAGCAAACACCAGGTAGCCTTGGGAAACCTCTACTGTGCAGCTTTCACAATGAGTTGTAAATGAAAAATAATATCTTAATAAAGATATCTGTGCTGTTTCAGCTCAGCGAAGTCCCTTGGTAGTCCCAAGATGCTCCAAAGCACAGTATGTAAAATGCTGACTTAGCAGCATAAAATGCTGTTTCCTCCAGTTACGTGTGGGTTGTATCAGCCAGCTTGGACTGTGTTTAACTGGTCTCACTCTGCTTATTTGCTATCATTTTGGTGGGAGGCAGGTAGCTCTAGGACAGCTTTCAATGAGACTAACTGGGCTTCTTTCCATGACTTTTGTGCCTTTAGCAACCTAGTATGGGTCTGTTCCCACTGCAATGAGGGCAGGCTCCAGGACAGAGAGCTGAAGCATGAAAGGATTTTGAGTTACAGCCTCCAACTCCACACTATCAATTCACTTCTACTGCATTCTTTCACTTAAAATACACGTAAAAGTTGGACTAAATTCTCAGGTGAGGAAAAAGCTCCTCCTTTAGATAAGATAAATGATAAATATCTATGAGAGATGGAATGATACAGACAGGCATGGGCTATACAGGACATTTTACCAGTCAACCTAACACAACCTATTCCCAACACAAAACCAAAATAAGTTTTTCTTTACTATCTTTAATTATTTTAACTTTATTGTGTATATATACTAGAAGAGTGAAATGGTGATTAAGCATAATTGCGAGTTTTGTTGTCTTGGATGCTACAGAGGGGATTGCAAAAGCAATCTGGGAATGTCACAGAGATATGACCTTGGTATCTGTATACAACTTCTTTTCCCTTCCCCTCGGCAGTGTCCGGGTCTCTGCTTCCTAACCAGCCACTAAGAGATGCACCGCTTTGCTCTGCTATGTTTTGCCTCATAGTTCTCACTTCAAGACTCCTGTGGATGGAAAACCCTGACACTCATCCTTTCTTCCTTTAAATTGTGAGTGTGAGGCATTGCGTCTCCAGGAGAAGCAGCACAGACATATTCAGGCATGTTATCTGAAATGTGCTGACCTTGATTCTACACCATCAGTTCTTTTCAAAAACCAGAATTTTGGCTATGACACAAACCTGAAAGAGAGATGATTAACAAAATTACATAAAATATATGGCATCTCTCGCTACCTCAAATATGATAATATCATTAAGAACAAAAACACCAAAAAAAAAAAATTTAGCCTTTGGACCCTTTTCTTTGAATCATATGTTGCATCATAAAATTTAGAGCCGTAAGATGATGTAAATGTCTGAATAATACAATAGTAGTATGTCAAGAAAGTAGAAGAGACAGGATTGTAGGAAACAAGGGCAAACCTTTCTCTTATAAATGAAATTAGTTACTACTTAGGTCCAACCAGGCATTAAAAGGTGGGAGCAAAATACTATTATTAAATACTCTAATTTAAATCCAGAAACTTGTCTGATACTCTTCCTTTTTCATGCATGGTATGGACCAAGAAAATCCTAGGTTTTCCTACAGATGTATATTTTTATGAAACCCGCAGTATTTAAACATTAGAGATATAATAAAATTTCTAATCTTGGGTCTTTCCCAATGGATATACTGCTGTGTTTGAAGTTAGTTACACACATTCATAAACTTTGCTTTCCCCTCTCTCCTACCCTTTTTTCACCCGATTCCTTCTCCCTCTTTAAAACTTTATACATTTTTGCTATTGTATAATTTAACAAATTTAAGTGAAATGAACCTCACTATGAAGAGTACACAAGATCATAAAATGAGAGAGAGACAGTTTGCGTCAAGTTTGTGTGTGCGTGTGTGTGTGTGTGTGTGTATGTGTGTGTGTACTATTGCACTTTGTGACGCTCACTCTGACTCTGAGAATCATACAGATGCTGTTTGTTATTCCCCAGGTTATTGATGTCCTTACATGTGAGCAAATTACTTACTACATTTACCATAATTCCAGTGCTTAAATACTTTCATTACACTGAAACCTAAATTAATTACATTTGGTATGCAATAGGAAAAACACAATTCTCTATAAAGTGAAATGAACCACTTACTCTGATAGATTCAGTTGCGGAAAACATATTCATCCTTATTGTGGGAAGAAGGTGTTACCCTTTCTGTATTTTATTATATGTGACGTACTTTTTTTTTTTGTTAATGGCTGCATGAAACACTTTGATCTTAGACTATAAGGCAAATTTGCCTACCTTTAAATGCATTGCACTAAAAGTCAGGAAATCATCTTGTCCTATTACTAACAAGTTAAATCAATTGCTTAGACTTTCTGGCATTGTTTCTTGTGGTATCGAGTGTTCCTAAACTAATAATGTTTACTTTTGTTTCTAACTTGAATTTGCTGATTATCAGTTGGTCACCACAAAGTATGTTTGAGCTACTGAGTCAGTGACAATTTTCCTCTGCACTGTAGTATAAATAACGTCCTATTGGGAAACATTGTATGCAGTTTTATTATGTTTTCTCAGTTTTCACTTTTTGCTATCTATCATCTAATTATCTATTTATCTTCATGGTTTTGAAGATTGAACCCTTTCCTCTTCCATGTTAGGCATACGCTTTTATGTCAAATCATGCTTCCAAACCACAATATCCTTTGAAAAATTATCAACCCTGTGCTACACACCCAGGAGATTTTCAAGTGCTTTAAACTACTGAACTTTTCAATATTTTTAATATTGGTCTTTGATAGTGTATCATTTGTTTATGCTACGTGTGCTAGACTCTGTAGTAAAATCTGCAGTGGTAGTCACACTTACTAATATTAAGACATACTACATGATGCCTCCCATATGTCCTTCACAAAACACAGATTCCCATCATGCACCATAGTCTTTCTCAAGCAACAAACTAAATTCAAATTGAGTATTATACTACTGATACAGAGTTACAAGAACTGCTCACAAAAACGTTTTCTTTTCATCAGGTGACGTGACATTTTAAAATGTATAAGTCTAAATACAAATTTTTATCATGTTATTACCTAATGGTTGTAAGAAGCTGGAAAAACTATTCTAATCTCTGATCAGTCTTTATCTTTTCTTGGAAAGAGCACATGACTTACACTTTTGCCACGTTCTGTTTTCCTTTGCTTCCAAGTCATTGATATGTACAACATCTTCAGAAAAGAAAATAAATTTGATATATGTTTTCACTGAATTTTCAATGTGCTTATCTTACAAAGCACAACTAACATTTGCCCAAATCCACTGCTTCTTGCATTTAAGAAACTTGGTGATTATCATTAAATGACTGTTTCTGCTCTGTTTCTACAAATACACTTTTATGCAATTAAAATTAAATTCTACACATGCTCAGTTCCACAATCATTATACCTTTACGGTTCTTTTTAATGTTAATGAGAGTTAAACAAACTCATAAATAAATAAATAGACAATTCCAGGCAGTACTCTAATTGCCATACAGCTATCCTATAAATTTCCTGAATTGGTATCACAAAAGGACCATTATTACTATCATGCATAGTTGTTTTAGGCAAGTGACTCTCTTCTTGCAAGAGAAAATAATAATACTAATAATTAATTGATTTATCACTCTTAAGAAATATTTAAAAAGATTCTCTCTTGTATTTTTCTTTTGAGATCCAGTCTCCTGATAAGTTTTACAACAGTAAATTATTACTAGAAGCCGAAGGGAAAATATATATTCTCACATTGTTAAAAGATTTAAAATCTAATCCAGTGGTTTATCAGGCCAGATCTCTACTGAAGTAGTTGAAAAGAAGTTAGTGTGTATTTGAATAGCTGGATTACAAACCACACCAAAGTCTTCACTGTAATGGAAATCTTTCCATTATTGCCATTTTCATCAACGACAGAGGATCCACTCTGATACTTGAATTGGTGGTAAATTTACTTTTCTTCCCTTTCCAAGGCTCACATTACTTTTCAGCTCTATCTTCTTAGGCCAGGTATTGACATTTACGTAAGGTATTGACATTGCCACATTTAAACTGTGGCAAATTCCAAAACCATTGCAATCGAGTCTTTCTATTTAACTGATTGACTCTAATATTCAGTAAACAGAATGGTGGTACTGTGGAAGTAAAAGAAGTTGAAAGCTTAGGTAAGTACAGAATTATCTAACTTTCTGGCTCTGATAGAGAGTAATTAAAATATAATGTACACAAATTACATGGAGGCTAAGAACGCATAGCACACTTTTATTATATAAGATTGTAACAGATTTGTACTAACTTTATTAAAAGATTTGTTAATTATCTGTATGTGGCTAAATTTGGAATATTAATGTATACATTTTGAAATCAAAATATCAACCAAAAGGAAACAATTTAATCAGCTTAAATCATGGTAAGGAATTAAACCGGTTTCATTTGATTGTGTCTAGCAAGCTCTAGTTACTTTATCTAATTCAATCAAATAAATAACCCACAATGTCAGTTATTAATATTGCAATTTTAAAATTAAAGAGCTGGGAATTAAGACTATTCTTAAAATTATACAGACAAGTCAGTAGAAAATTCAAGATGCAAATTTCGATCTACTGGCTCCTAAATTATCTCTCTAAAGCAGATGCAGAAATGAAATGCTATGAATGGAATGAGATGAATCTTTAAAGGTGAATGAGAGTTAATCAGTCAAGAAGGAAGAAGTTTGAGATGCAGAAAACAATGAGAACAAAAGTTCTTGGTAAAACGAAAGGCATATTTCAAGGAGTTAATAGGACTTTGGAATTACAGTATTGATCCTTGAAATGGAATCCTGCAAACTAGACTAAAAATGTAGGCAAGAACCAAAGTGTAACACACCTAATACAGGATGATAAGAAGCTAGACGGAAACTAGATAAAAAGGTTTCACATTGGTGGATGAAATGATAATAAATCAGATCTTTATAAAGATAGTGCTAATAACAAACAAGAAGGTTAAAATGCAGGAATGAGGAGTTTGCTATGGCACTTAACTCTGTTGCTGTAAGTGATCCAATTTTTGAGAAAAAAAAATTATAGCAGTCCAGAATACCGGCTTCTGAGTTTGACCAACCTGAATGCTCCAGCTTATACTAGAATTGTTTTCAGGAATTATAATACATTTGACCAAGGATTTGGTAAATGATGAGACTTCAAGAATATTGATTGTTATTTTT